TAACTCAGGAACTACTGGACCGATCGGAACGAACGAAACGCCATTCGAATCAGAGGGTACGATTTTATCAGCCGTTTCGAAGCTCGTCACCCCAGGTGACCTCGGTGACCTCAAGAGGTCAACTCGGCATTGACACCTATTGCAGCCATTCTATAACTCAGGAACTACTGGGCCGATCGCGACGAAAACACCACCAGTCGAATCAGCGTATGTGATTTCATCAGCCGTTTCGAATATGGTGACCTCAGGTGACCTCGGTGACCTTGGGAGGTCACATGACCGATGTGGCCTATTGCAGCCATTCTATAACTCAGGAACTACTGGGCTGATCGCGACGAAAACACCACCAGTCGAATCAGCGTATGTGATTTCATCAGCCGTTTCGAATATGGTGACCTCAGGTGACCTCGGTGACCTTGGGAGGTCACATGACCGATGTGGCCTATGGCAGCCATTCTACAACTCAGGAACTACTGGGCCGATCGCGAGGAAAACACCACCAGTCGATTCAGCGTATGCGATTTCATCAGCCGTTTCGAATATGGTGACCTCAGGTGACCTCGGTGACCTTGGGAGGTCACATGACCGTTGTGGCCTATGGCAGCCATTCTATAACTCAGGAACTACTGGGCTGATCGTGACGAAAACACCACCAGTCGATTCAGCGTATGCGATTTCATCAGCCGTTTCGAATATGGTGACCTGAGGTGACCTCGGTAACCTTGGGAGGTCACATGACCGTTGTGGCCTATGACAGCCATTCTATAACTCAGGAACTACTGGGCCGATCGCGACGAAAACACCACCAGTCGATTCAGCGTATGCAATTTCATCAGCCGTTTCGAATATGGTGACCTCAGGTGACCTCGGTGACCTTGGGAGGTCACATGACCAATGTGGCCTATTGCAGCCATTCTATAACTCAGGAACTACTGGGCCGATCGTGACGAAAACACCACCAGTCGATTCAGCGTATGCGATTTCATCAGACGTTTCGAATATGGTGACCTCAGGTGACCTCGGTGACCTTGGGAGGTCACATGACCAATGTGGCCTATGGCAGCCATTCTATAACTCAGGAACTACTGGGGCGATCGTGATGAAAACACCACCAGTCGATTCAGCGTATGCGATTTCATCAGCCGTTTCGAATATGGTGACCTCAGGTGACCTCCGTGACCTTGGGAGGTCACATGACCAATGTTGCCTATTGCAGCCATTCTATAACTCAGGAATTACTGGGCCGATCGCGACGAAAACACCACCAGTCGATTCAGCGTATGCGATTTCATCAGCCGTTTCGAATATGGTGACCTCAGGTGACCTCGGTGACCTTGGAAGGTCACATGACCGTTGTGGCCTATGGCAGCCATTCTATAACTCAGGAACTACTGGGCCGATCGTAACGAAAACACCACCATTCGATTCAGCGTATGCGATTTCATCAGCCGTTTCGAATATGGTGACCTCAGGTGACCTCGGTAACCTTGGGAGGTCACATGACCAATGTGGCCTATTGCAGCCATTCTATAACTCAGGAACTACTGGGCCGATCGTGACGAAAACACCACCAGTCGATTCAGCGTATGCGATTTCATCAGCCGTTTCGAATATGGTGACCTCAGGTGACCTCGGTGACCGTGGGAGGTCACATGACCGTTGTGGCCTATGGCAGCCATTCTATAACTCAGGAACTACTGGGCCGATCGTGACGAAAACACCACCAATCGAATCAGCGTATGCGATTTCATCAGCCGTTTTGAATATGGTGACCTAAGGTGACCTCGGTGACCTTGGGAGGTCACATGACCAATGTGGCCTATTGCAGCCATTCTATAACTCAGGAACTAGTGGGCCGATCGTGACGAAAACACCACCACTGTCGATTCAGCGTATGCGATTTCATCAGCCGTTTCGAATATGGTGACCTCAGGTGACCTCGGTGACCTTGGGAGGTCACATGACCAATGTGGCCATGGCAGCCATTCTATAACTCAGGAACTACTGGGCCGATCGCGACGGAAACACCACCAATCGAATCAGCGTATGCGATTTCATCAGCCGTTTCGAATATGGTGACCTCAGGTGACCTCGGTGACCTTGGGAGGTCACATGACCGTTGTGGCCTATGGCAGCCATTCTATAACTCAGGAACTACTGGACCGATCGTGACGAAAACACCACCAGTCGATTCAGCGTATGCGATTTCATCAGCCGTTTCGAATATGGTGACCTCAGGTGACCTCGGTGACCGTGGGAGGTCACATGACCGTTGTGGCCTATGGCAGCCATTCTATAACTCAGGAACTACTGGGCCGATCGTGACGAAAACACCACCAATCGAATCAGCGTATGCGATTTCATCAGCCGTTTTGAATATGGTGACCTAAGGTGACCTCGGTGACCTTGGGAGGTCACATGACCAATGTGGCCTATTGCAGCCATTCTATAACTCAGGAACTACTGGGCCGATCGTGACGAAAACACCACCACTGTCGATTCAGCGTATGCGATTTCATCAGCCGTTTCGAATATGGTGACCTCAGGTGACCTCGGTGACCTTGGGAGGTCACATGACCAATGTGGCCTATGGCAGCCATTCTATAACTCAGGAACTACTGGGGCGATCGTGACGAAAACACCACCAGTCGATTCAGCGTATGCGATTTCATCAGCCGTTTCGAATATGGTGACCTCAGGTGACCTCGGTGACCTCAAAAGGTCATCTTAACGTTTTCGCCTATTGCAGCCATTCTATAACTCAGGAACTACTGGGCCGATCGCGACGAAAACACCACCAATCGAATCAGCGTATGCGATTTCATCAGCCGTTTCGAATATGGTGACCTCAGGTGACCTCGGTGACCTTGGGAGGTCACATGACCGTTGTGGCCTATGGCAGCCATTCTATAACTCAGGAACTACTGGACCGATCGGAACGCACGAAACGCCATTCGAATCAGAGGGTACAATTTATCAGCCGTTTAGAAGCTCGTGACCCCAGGTGACCTCGGTGACCTCAAAAGGTCAACTCGGCATTGACACCTATTGCAGCCATTCTATAACTCAGGAACTACTGGGCCGATCGCGACGAAAACACCACCAGTCGAATCAGCGTATGTGATTTCATCAGCCGTTTCGAATATGGTGACCTCAGGTGACCTCGGTGACCTTGGGAGGTCACCGAGACCGATGTGGCCTATGGCAGCCATTCTATAACTCAGGAACTACTGGGCCGATCGCGAGGAAAACACCACCAGTCGATTCAGCATATGCGATTTCATCAGCCGTTTCGAATATGGTGACCTCAGGTGACCTCGGTGACCTCAAAAGGTCAACTTAACGTTTTCGCCTATTGCAGCCATTCTATAACTCAGGAACTACTAGGCCGATCGCGACGAAAACACCACCAATCGAATCAGCGTATGCGATTTCATCAGCCGTTTCGAATATGGTGACCTCAGGTGACCTCGGTGACCTTGGGAGGTCACATGACCGTTGTGGCCTATGGCAGCCATTCTATAACTCAGGAACTACTGGGCTGATCGTGACGAAAACACCACCAGTGGATTCAGCGTATGCGATTTCATCAGCCGTTTCGAATATGGTGACCTCAGGTGACCTCGGTGACCTTGGGAGGTCACATGACCGTTGTGGCCTATGGCAGCCATTCTATAACTCAGGAACTACTGGGCCGATCGTGACGAAAACACCACCAATCGAATCAGCGTATGCGATTTCATCAGCCGTTTTTTAGTATGGTGACCTCAGGTGAACTCGGTGACCTTGGGAGGTCACATGACCAATGTGGCCTATGGCAGCCATTCTATAACTCGGGAACTAATGGGCCGTTCGTGACGAAAACACCACCAGTCGATTCAGCGTATGCGATTTCATCAGCCGTTTCGAATATGGTGACCTCAGGTGACCTCGGTGACCTCAAAAGGTCAACTTAACGTTTTCGCCTATTGCAGCCATTCTATAACTCAGGAACTACTGGGCCGATCGCGACGAAAACACCACCAATCGAATCAGCGTATGCGATTTCATCAGCCGTTTCGAATATGGTGACCTCAGGTGACCTCGGTGACCTTGGGAGGTCACATGACCGTTGTGGCCTATGGCAGCCATTCTATGTGACCTCCCAAGGTCACCGAGGTCACCTGAGGTCACCATACTCGAAACGGCTGATGAAATCGCATACGCTGAATCGACTGGTGGTGTTTTCGTCGCGATCGGCCCAGTAGTTCCTGAGTTATAGAATGGCTGCAATAGGCGAAAACGTTAAGTTGATCTTTTAAGGTCACCGAGGTCACCTGAGGTCACCATATTCGAAACGGCTGATGAAATCGCATACGCTGAATCGACTGGTGGTGTTTTCGTCACGATCGCCCCAGTAGTTCCTGAGTTATAGAATGGCTGCCATAGGCCACATTGGTCATGTGACCTCCCAAGGTCACCGAGGTCACCTGAGGTCACCATATTCGAAACGGCTGATGAAATCGCATACGCTGAATCGACTGGTGGTGTTTTCGTCGCGATCGGCCCAGTAGTTCCTGAGTTATAGAATGGCTGCCATAGGCCACAACGGTCATGTGACCTCCCAAGGTCACCGAGGTCACCTGAGGTCACCATATTCGAAACGGCTGATGAAATTGCATACGCTGAATCGACTGGTGGTGTTTTCGTCGCGATCGGCCCAGTAGTTCCTGAGTTATAGAATGGCTGCAATAGGCGAAAACGTGAAGTTGACCTTTTGAGGTCACCGAGGTCATCTGAGGTCACCATATTCGAAACGGCTGATGAAATCACATACGCTGATTCGACTGGTGGTGTTTTCGTTGCGATCGGCCCATTAGTTCCTGAGTTATAGAATGGCTGCAGTAGGCGTCAATGCCGAGTTGACCTCTTGAGGTCACCGAGGTCACCTGGGGTCACGAGCTTCGAAACGGCTGATAAAATCGTACCCCCTGATTCGAATGGTGTTTCGTTCGTTCCGATCGGTTCAGTAGTTCCTGAGTTATAGAATGGCTGCAAGGGTGGCGGTCGAATAGTGTTGTCCCTCATGAACCCACCATGAACCCGCTATAGTGCTACATTTGTGAGGCAGGAAAGACAAAAGGTGTTTCTGTCTTTGGCGCCGGCGTCGCTTGTGATTCACACGTGTGGTGGCATGTGTTGATCAAGTGTTGATTCTGGACAGTTCTCATGCGAGTTTCGCTTTTTTAATATTGCGATTGAATATAAACATTTTCAACCCAGGTAGGTACAGTCACTCCACCTCGTATCCTCTAGATTTAGCTAAGTGACATCCAGATCATTTGTAAAGAAAGTAGGCAGTCTTATCACTTTCTTCAAATAAGTTTGAAACTTTTGATTTTTATGCTTATAAAGGCAAGAATAGAAATAAATAGTATTTAAAATGGGAATTCTCAAGAAATTTTTATGTTGGAAGAACTTTTTTCCATACCTACAGGCTATACTGTTTGCACTTTGGAGCCGAGACTTAAGTATGCCGAGAATGCATTGATCAGTGATATTGCATGGTTCAAAACCAAACACATGCTGATTGGCTGATGGTGGCCTCTGCCATAGTTGGCTGCATTCTTGGAATTCTTCTGTAAGGCACCGTATTCCCAAATCCCAAGGCACTGGTCACAGATCAACAAATGGAATATCTTTTCAGGGTGACCAGGCATGACATTTACCATCAGGCACTGGTCATGGATCAACAAATAGAATATCTTTTCAGGGTGATCATCGGGTTGTAAAGCTCATTATTTGTGTTAGTCTTAGCTCAAGCTAGCTACAAAATTAGTGATTGCTATTTCAGTTCAAAAGGTCATGTTTAAAGTGGGATATTTCCCTTAATCATGAGTAATTACTAATTTCAGCTCATCAATTTACATTTTCTTGGACTTTTCCCAAAGTTGTGCATTGTGGTGATATTTTCACTAAATAAGTGCTGTTACAGGGAATATAAAGTTTATTCATTGTGTTTACAATTAACTTAACCCGCGCCCCGTAGGGCTACCGGCGGACCCTATCACCCGTAGGGCGTAGGGGGGGGGGGGCTGTTTCGGCCTCCTCCAAAGATCTCGGAAATTTACCGGCCGATTTTCAAAATTCAAACGGCGTTCGATAGCCCTACCCGGGAACTACCTTGTGACCGAATTCATTAGCGTCGCCACGGGGGGGGGGGGGGGGAGGCAAGCGGGGCAGCTTGCCCCCCCAACCTCGGACCGGGCACCCCCTGAGATCGATACAGATCCGATGAGATTTTGGAGTCGGGGAAAAATGGGGGTACCTTTCTGGGAATGCCTGTGAGGTCAGACTCTGTTGGAGCGTGCAGTTCAAACCAAAGTCAGAGTCGCAGTCGCCAAAATCTTCAAGACTCCGACTCCAGACTCGGAAATGTCAATGCCATGATTCATGCCATGTTCCTAGTTGGTTCTTTATTACATTTTGTAGCTGATTTTCATAAATTTTGGAGTGCTGACACATAATTTTCGTTCAAAACGTGACACGAAATCTTCGGGGCATTTCTCAACTCTCGTCAAATGTCTGCGACAGGCACAAGTACCGTTCAAGTGCCGCAGGGCTCATGAGCCTGCTTTTCACACAGGCTCCTAAGGAGCTCCACTGAGCTCTAAGAAGCTTTCGGAGGGCCCAAACCGGCCTCTGAGAGTCCCACTGGTGTCCATGTTCTCTAGAGGGCCCATACAGGGATCTTTGAGGACATTATACATACGTAGACCTCTGAAGGGCCACACGAATCTTTGAGGATGCCTTCGAAAATTTCTGAAAACCTCAACTGGCCTATGATAGTTCAGCCGAACTTTTGAGGCGACAGACTTTACTAACCCCAACCCGGCATCTGAGGGGTCACAACTCACGTGTCCCTCTGAGGGCCGCAACACATGTTTCTTATGTCCCTACCAACGTAGGGTCCTTAAGGATTCGACACAGACCCCGACGGTTCACACTGTTATTCGAGGGCTCCAGGCTCACCCTGGGGCTAGTCTCTTAGCGCCCGCCGCCCACACTGGCTTCTGAAAGCTCGTGTGCCCTAAAGGTCTTTCCGGGCCCACCTTAGGCTCGGAAAGCCCTAAAGCACCACATACCTACACGTAAATATTTGGGGTGACCCACGCCGATCTCCGGGATCCTAAGCAGGCTTCTGAGAGTCCACACTGACCCTGAGTGGCCTGAAATGGCCTGAAAGTCGCAATCCTATCTCTAAGCACCCTTGCCGTTATGCCGTGCGTAACTTTTGGTTCCGTTAAATATTTTTGGTCGCGTTTGCAGCGCTTCCCTTCACTCGAAAAACCAGAAACTTTTTGTTCACACTCGAGTGAACTAAACACTTCTTCTCACTGCAGCAAGGATGAACGATGTACTTCCGATTCACACTTCCGACATTCTCTCTCAGTCTCCGCCGAATGCCCAATTCTTAGCTACAATCGGCGGCTGGGATAAGCCCTATGCATTTCACGTAAAACCTCGGCATGCATGCGTGAATGGAGGTTTTAGCGAGGTGATCCGATTCAAATGGAGCGTTTTTCACCTTCTTCTGGGTAATGATCATGAGCGACGAGAGTCTGCACAGGGGCCCTCTGCAGTGCGTCGGCAATCGCAGCCACTGTAATTCTAACAGCCGTTTTTGTCCAGAAATTTCAAAATTTTGATTTTTTTTTTTGTAAAAAAAATACATGCTATAGCTAGAAGGAAAACTTTGTCACCATCGGATTCCTCGCACCATTGCGCGTCGAATGATATGTAAAACGAGTGAGTAACGGCTGGGGAAAGGCAAGATTTAACACAAAACTTGATTTTGCCCCCCCCCCCAACCGAAAATGTCTGGCGACCCCTATGACCGAATTTCATTGACCTAGGTCAAACCGATGACGTCACAGGTCAGGCCAAAGGTCGGATTTTCACCGTTCAGTCATTTCAAGAAATGTGTTGTGAAATCGAGTAAATTGGTAATTTATTGAAAACCATCGATGGTAAATTGTTCATCAAGCACATACTTCGCTATCTGAGGTCACTGACACCAGGTCAGGTCACAGCGAGGTTAGGTCACCACTCACCGGGGGTCACAATATGAAAGTGTCATGTGATACATGTTTTATGGTCCATTTTACTTGAAAAAATGCGATTATGTGGGTTAGGCAGCCTTTGGGGCCAGCCTAGGTCACATTTTAGCGAAGGTCAGGTCAAGGTCAGGTCAAATTAGGTCAAATTTCAAAGTTGATATTTTTGCATAAAATGGGTATCGATTCGATGCAGCTCGTCACGGGGAGTCCAATGGTGGTCTTTGTTTTGCCCTACGAGGTCTAGAATTGCCAAAAATTGAGTTTGAAAATTTGACGTCATCATTTTTGAACAGTTTTTTTTTTCGCTATAACTTCGCCAAAAAACGAGGTATCGATCTGAAATTTGGTATGTAGTTAGAAGACGGTAGGCACTATCACATATATTCCGGTTTTTCCGAAACTCAAAAAACTTTTTGGATTTTTTGGCTAATATATCCAAAAAATCGCATTTTTAATTTTTGGGAGTCAAAACTCAAAAATTTGAAAAATCCGAGATAGCAGTTTTGTAGTCCTGTTAATTCTACACCTTTTATGTCTGGATCATTTTTCTGTATCTTCAAAGCTGTAGGCCTGACAGCTCTTCTCGCGAAGGTCTTTTTTCGGTCGAAAATGGCAGAACATGACGTCATTCTGACGTCATTTGTGGCCAACCTATCATAGTTTCTGGAAAAAAAATTTGGTCACAATGTGTAAAATTGATGCCCGGAGGGGTCCTGAAAGTTTGGTGGCGATATCTCCAGCCGTTTAGAAGATATTGACGGAAAAGGATGGGGGGGGGGGGGGCCGTTTCGGCCCCCGCCTACGGGGCGCGGGTTAAGAACCATACAAAGAACTTGTCTTCATATCAGCTTTCCTTGGGGTTGTTCTGGGCCTGACTTTTCTTTTCCTGCTGCTTTCAATCTTGCTGGCTCTTGTCAGCCTCTCATTGGGGAACAGTAAATTGGTTTTACTGTTCACCAGTGGTTTTCGCATGCGATAGGATGAGCGATAAACGATAATAATTATCGCTGTTAAGTAAATCGGTTATCATTATCGTTTATCGCTAAATTTTCAAAATTATCGCTCATCCACTTATCGCAAGTTACAAAAATTTTGAACGATAAACGATAAAATGTAAAACGGGATGATGAAAAAATGGAAGACGATCGACAGTGTATGCCGCGCGACAGTATGTGTGTGCGCAACCGGTTGCCATCCGCCAAGCTGTATTTCTTATCGCTTTTATTATCGCTGTTAAAAAAAATTATCACTATCGTTTTATCGTTTATCGTTTCGTTATCGCTCCTAGAAGAGTAATTATCGTTATCGTTTTATCGTGTATCGTTTCGTTATCGCTGCTAAAAACAATTATCGTTATCGTTTTATCGCTGTCGCTGTTATTTTTTTTAAAAAAATATCGTTTATCGTTAGCGTAAAATTGAAAAAAAAATATCGTTTATCGTAGCGTAAACCTTTCTTATCGTTTTATCGTTATCGCAGGTCCGAAACTTAGTTATCGCTGAAAGCACTGCTGTTCACTATTGATAGGCTGAGAAGAATTAGCAAACAAATATTATATGATCATTATTGCTGAACTTTTGTTGAAGGGTTCAGGTACAGTAGCCACATACACAGACTGGGTTTTTGTCTTCTGCTCACCTCTTCTGCCAATGTCAAATTAGTTTTATGGACCATTTACACATTTTTTGTGCACATCAGCCTGTATTTGGGGATCTAAAAAGGAATGAAGTCTGGGATTAAACATGATCAATAATTCAAATAAGGTACACAATTACTTGTGCAACTGTTTGCTTGTCTAAATTGTAGAATGCTGTTAAATGTTGCTGTACACCATTTAGTCTTTATGTTAGGAAAAGAACATCAGATATGGGCACAAAACGGCCACCGCAGTCGACGCACCCGTAAACCCTAATAAGTAAACAAGAACACCAGATGCTTGACTAATGATGGGCATAAAATGTGAACTAGTTAGCAAACATCAGATCCCAAACATGCAACACATTGAGCCCGAACATAACATTCACAAAGAACACAAATTTTATTACAGAACTCTATGCTCCAAAATATGCACGAAACAGGTCTTGTTCATGACTTATGTCCATAATCCATGATATTGAATTGAACTATCCCTGCACTGCATGCCTGACTGTCTTTTGCCTTTTTCAAGATGGCGGTGGCGGCTCCGGCGGCCGACAAGGCTGCGGCCACGTTTGGCATACATATCGGCAGCACGAGCATGTCGATAGCTGTGAGCGGCACCGGGCGGCCGGAGGTGCTGGCCAACCCGGCCGGGGAGCGTGTGACGCCGGCCGTGGTCCGCTACATGGAGGGTGAACAGGTCAGTGGACTGCGCTGCTTCGGTGTCGGGGAAGGGATTGGCGGCCACTGGTCTAGTCTTGTCCATATTACATCCCTGCTCCTCGTCTGCCTTTTCACTCTGATGTCTGATTGTACAGAAGTCGAGGTCTGATATATAAGACTTAACATCCTCCGCCTCGACAGGTGTTGTGGCAGTACTTTAGGCTGTTTGATAATGGTTTATAAATGTGAATGAGACTATCCATTTCATACGGGCTTGTTGCGAATTGCATTCCTCGACACTTCCGGGATCTACATAGCTACGCTGTATAGCTACACTGTATAGCTACGCTGCAAATCTGCGCATCACCTCTCTACGCTCTGAGAGATTGTTGATAGAGGTAAGAATGTTATGATGTTGCTGCCATTCCCAGGTAGTTGGTACAGCCGCCAAACAGGGCTCGGTGAGACACGCCGCCATTACTGCAGCCCGCGTCCGCTGCCTACTTTCGGCCGACGACCGCCAGGCGGCTCTGCAGTCGCGCTTCTGTCCCGTCGACGAAGAGCGAGGCTTCATTATACGGCATGACGAGAAGGAGGAGGTGCATCCGGCCGAGGAGGTGCTCAAGACGCTGCTGAAGTACCTGCATGATGTGGCGCAGAGACAGGTAGGTCGAGACATGCCGGCCCGAATTCAGGCACTTGGTGTTGTTTGGATTAGGTTTCGGTTCCCGCCTGAACTCACTTGAAAACTTGACAGTCGTCCTTGGTAGGGGAGAGTGGGGTAAGATGCCCAGGGTGGGAAAGACGCCCCACCCCCTCTAGCGGCGAAACAAGGAATCGAACCTGGAAATTAATGTTCTTAGCGTAAAGCGGAAGCCTGCCTTGTTAAAGATAGTGTGCCACCTTTGAAAGATTTCCCATGTTATTTTTCCTAGGATAAGAAGCTTCTGTTTTTACCTAATATCGCAAAAAAAAAATCAAAAATGGGCCTGGAATAGTGCCTTTTTGGCCTAAAAGTTTATCGGTTTTTAGATATGTATAACAACTGTAGTGGGCTCACCTGCAAACAGGCGTCGGGCAACAATCGCGAATGCGGCGCACTTGTTTGTGACAATAAGCAAAGGTCATTATAGTGTTACGACCATACGACGTACGGGAATGAGTTATCAGCTGTCTAATCGTAGACAACACAATGTCGAGCCTTAAACTGTAAGCCCGTATTGGTATTGTTTCTTTTATTTGGCTGTCGAACATTATTTATGGTTTGAAATATGATTTTATGTAAAATAATTGATATGAAAAAGCCGTCTTATAAGTTATGACCCCATTTCACCACACGCAAGTGGCAGAAATGACAATGATCAGCTGACGCATTTTTCTTGGCCGAAGTCAGAGCGCGCAGCCCGACGCACCACGCGTATTTGGAAATTCCGACCTCGACGAGCATCAGAAGCCACCTAACAGGCGTGTTCGAAACCGCAGGAGATGATGATGAACGGGTTTATCGAAACTTGATTGGATGAGCCTATCGGTAATAGCGATTTTAGTATGTGCATTTATTGTTCATAGTGGTGTGAAATGTGGTTGGGGTACGACCGACAACCCGTCGGGGCGAATTTCGCACTGGGGTACTCAAAATTTGAAGAATTTAAGACGTTTCCATGAGTTTTGAAGGTATGGATAAGTTCTAAAAATCCGGTTCTCCTTACCCGGGTCATTAACTCCATATGGTCCAGGAAAGCTGGCACACTACCTTTAACTGAACAAAAATTTGCGAAGCTCAGTTGGGCAACGGCTGGCTGGTGATTGCATGTTTTTTATTTGCTGCTTTCAAAAAATATTTTTGTGTCAAAACATTGTAAATATCAAAGAAGGTTGATAGTTTTTGCGTCCCTTGCTATAGTCGTGATACATTAACATGCGTGTACTGTGTCCCAAACAGTTTGTTTCAGGCTGTAGGTTTATGGCTAACAAATTGAACTGATTTAATGTTACTTCGGTACCTTGGGGTAAGATGCCCCCTGTCCTGATGGGGAAAGACGCCCCCCTAAATCCGTAGGCTGTCCTTCAAGCAGCCCGTCAAATCATTTATTACATACTTGTGATGAGAGACAAAAGCCGATCTGGGACTATTGAGAGTCCAGTACGGTCGGGTGCTCCCCATGCCGGTCTCTCGGCCCACACAGCGACTTTTGGGCGGCATCTGACTCTGAGAGCCCTCACGACGGCCTCTATGGGCCCCATTATTGGCTCCAGGGCCCCTCACGACATCCTTTAAGGGCTCCCACGTTGGCTCCACGGGCAGCGCTGGCATCTGAGGTCCCCACGATGGGCTCGAGGGCCCTCAAGCATCATGAAGACCTAAAAGGGCCCCACAGTGGTCTCCGAACGCCACCACGGAGGCTTGTTGGGCCGCGCTGGACTATGATGGCCCTAACGATGACCTCTGAAGCCCCTTACGACTACTTTTGAGGGCCCTTACGATGACGTTTGGTGTCTACTGCAGGCTCGAAGGGACTACTGATTCGTTCAGGCGATTCACGTGCACATTCATGTCACTTAACCCTATTCCTGGCGGGGGGGGGCCTCAGGAGCCCCCCCCCCCCTGAGGTTTTTTGGTTATATCTCCCAAACGCGTTGAGCTAGGAAGCTCAAATTTTCTGACTTTTCCTAAAAGGCTTCTACGCAACATGTCTGAAAATTTTGAGTTGATCTGACCTCAGGTCAGGTCACCAGAGGCGGTTTGGTGACGCTACCTCAGAAAAGTTTGCAATCACGCCAGAGCTAGAGTTTTTGACCGATCAATTTCTTCTCTTCAGGGTTTAGTTAGGGTACCAGTATGTGCAATTTGTATATCTCAGAATTTCGATATCGGTGACCTAAGGTCAGGTCAATTTCGCGACCTCCCCATTATAAGTCAATGGGGGAAAAATCAACTCCCTGTTTTTACCACTAAAACGGGTCGGAATGGCCCCATATACCATACATGACTTCATATACGATCAACCTTCACTACCTTGAGGTCTGTTTTGCTGTTGGGCAGCTGTGAGGTCATGTGACGTCATCAAAGGTCACCAAAGGTTTTTGGCCAATAACTCCGTACAGGAACAAGATACAGACGCGTGGATGGTCTCATTGTGTTCAGCTCGTCAAGACGCATCGAATGATATACATGATGACCTCGAGGTCACGTGACCTGAGGTCAACCTTTGACCTTGACCTTTCGAGGTCAACATATATATCATTCGATGCGGATTGACGAGAGGATCACGATGATGCCCTTAGTTTGTTCCTATCTTGACTAATTCGAAAGTTATTCGAGAAAAACTCTCTCCATATCTAGTGCCGCCATTTTGACTTTTTCGACCCCTGTGACGTCATCTTTGACCTGACCTGAAAATGACCTTAGTAAAAATTGTAGATCTTGGCCGTGCGTATCCGATGCCGTTTACCGCTTGTCGCTATCTTGCTTCGTTCTCGAGATCTCAGGGGGGGGGGGGCCGAATCGGCCCCCCCCCCCCGCCAGTTTCTTGTCCCGGCGGAGCCCGCCAGGAATAGGGTTAAAGTGCAGGGGGCATCTTCCCCAACGCCAGGGGGCGTCTTTCCCACCCTGTGGGGTAAGATGCCCCCTTTCACTTCTTTAGGAAAATGCTTATTAGCAAAAAATGTTATCATATTTCAGGCACGAAAGTGTGATATGTTTGGATCAAAATGATGTCGGCTTCCGTTGAAACTCCAAGTTTTTGCTTTCCGACCGTCATTTTCGAATAATATATGACAAAGTAAAACCCTGGGCATCTTTCCCCACTCTCCCCTATATAATTGACAGGTTGTATATGTATTTGGATAATCTTGCTTCTATAATATGAATAGTATAGTTAGGTACTAGTTCGTGCAATCGTTGCTTGGATAATTCTAATAGAGAGGCGTGTTCGTCGTAGGATGTTTGGTGCCTTTGAGTCGTTAAATTGATAACAATTTTCCACAATAGCAATCAATTATAGATCTATGTCACTCTAACAAAGCTGCAGCATGATTTACTAGCTAACACACAAATGAGTTGCTCGGACCTGCTGCTCAGCTCGTGAAGGATATTTTCCACCTCGAACCCCTGTTTGATGTTTCATCCTCTTTCCTCCTCAGGTGGGCAGCGAGCAGACTCAGTTCGACTCTGTACTCGCCGTGCCCGTTCACTTCGCCCCCTCGGAGCGGCAGACACTGCGCCGAGCGGCCGAGGAGGCCGGCTTCCACGTGCGACAGACCGTCCTGGAACCGGTGGCGGCGCTTATGGCACACGACGTCGGTCAGTCCCCGCAGGAGACGGCGCCGCTCGTTTGTCTCGTGGTGCGCGCCGGAGGAGCGACCTCCGACGCAGCCGTGGTGAGGTCGTCGGCCGGACTGTACACACTCGTCGAATCGGTACATCGGGCCGATCTCGGCGGAGACGCGCTGACCGATCTCGTGGCTGATTTTTTGGCGGGAGAGTGTCGCGCCAAATGGAAGACGGATCCGCGGGAGTCGCGGAAGGCGCTTGCGAAACTGCGCTCGGCGGCCGAGGTGGCCAAGCACGTGCTCTCCACCATGGCTACTGCGCAGTGTTTTGTGGAATCGCTGCTAGATGGGGTGGACTTTGGGTGTCAGGTGACGCGCGCGCGACTGGAGAGTGTGCTAGGACCGGCGCTGCAGCAGTGGGTGGATCTGGCTCGTGCCGCCGTCGCCGCCGCCGGTGTCAGCACTGTGGATCGTCTGGTTCTCGTCGGAGGCACCGCCAAGATTCCTCGTCTGCAGAGGATCCTCGCTGCAGCCTTTCCAGATGCGACTCTGCTGACCAGCCCGTCATCGGACGAGCTGGTTGCAGAAGGTGCCGCGCGACAGTCTGCTCTGATTGAGGACCGCTCGCTAGACGACGCTCCTCAAACGGTAGCTGTGTGCGCTAGGCCGGTGTACATCCAGTTCGGGGAGACGGAGCCGACTCTGGCGGTACCCGCCGGCGCGCCGGTGCCGTCAGTACACATCGCAGAGCACGTCACCGGCGCAGAGGGAGCCCTGAACGTGGTGCTCACGGAGGGGAGTGAGGAGGGCGCCGAGCGGCCAGTTCTGGCCAAGATGGAGGTGACGAGGCCAGCCGGCGCGCGGCTGGTGGCCACTCTGGTTCTGCGCAGGGAGATGGGACTCAGGATACGTTTGCTGGACGCCAACACCGGTGAGGCACTAGAAGCAGATGTGGCAGTAAGTGCGTGACGAAATGAGGCTTAGGTGCGCAGCCACTGCGCCAATTGAACAGTTTTTGGACGTGTGATGAGTTTAGACACGCGGAACGCACACGGGGAGTTGATTACAGGTAGTTTCGCGACGCGATAAACCGTGACGAACGACGGAGTGTGGATTCAGCGCGGTTCCAAATCAAAGGAGGCCTTCATAACGCGGCGATTGATGAACAGTCAGCCCCGTCGCCATACCTCAGCTGACTCGGCGCCGCGTAACCCTCGCTAGACCGGGGTGAGGTGTCGCAATCACCGGCCTCAGGACACTGCCGAGGGCGGGAATACCGTGCCGTGATGTGTTTGCCATTGTTCAGTTTGGTTAGATACTTGAATAAAGCATTTTAACACTTTGCTATTTGAGCTTTGAGTGTTTGCTGTGTAGTGCATTTGGTAAAGTGGTCGTTGACTGAGCTTTAGTTCGGTCGGAAGTGTGAGGGCTGACTGGTCAAGGAAACCTGTTTCGATTCCCTCAAACACTCACTATCTGTTACCCAATCAGCATAGCCTATGCCATCAGTGACCTGTCAAGTTACACACAGGTCAGTGGCAAAGTTGGTAGGCTCAGCGCTGCACGTGCCGTCGAAATCTGCTATTTATTGTTCTCCGGTCGCTCTGAGGAGACGGGACCAGAGAAGGGTCAGCGACTTTTGACTCGGGAGAATGACGACACGTCCTTCCTTGGGAGCTGAAATCCCGCTCATAAAATCACATGGTGACGTCACTTATATTACAATACAGGTAATTGTTCATCCACTGTTCCACACTTATGGCCATTCGTTTCATTTACAATATCGCTTTCACAAACTGTCAAAAACATTTCTTCAGACCACGGGCGTAAAAAAGAACGTCATTGGCACTACACGCGGCTGTCCCATCCATGCACGATCGCGTTACACTGCAAAAGGCCACAGCCCACCACGGAACAGCACGATGAGTTTTATGAGGTACGAGCACAATCGCATAATTCTGATCAGCCATCTTATAAAATCAGATCCAACGATCCGGAAACACAAATACCTACAATCGTTTTGAACACAATTGCCGGAGCCAACACCGTAAAAATATGCTGGTACACGACACTCGCTGCATACACAGAAAACGTTTGCCAATTCAAAGCCTGAGTTTAGCCGGGAAGACGCACGTTTCCATTCGATTAAATCTACTTGCAGTCAGGTCAGGTCAAGTTCTACCCACAGCTAAGATAACAAAATAGTTAGTCCCACCGTCCCCTGTTGAGCTCCACAATATGGAAGGCGTAAAACAATTATGTCGAAGGGAGAGAAGCGCAACGACGTCGCGTCTATAATGCAAGCGCATACCAAGGGCTAGTTTACACACTTTCACAGAGTATACCTACATGATGCAGCGTTCCCTGTATAGGTTATGTAGCTTTGTGTCACAGGTCCCCTTTTCTATCATGCAATAGTAAATATACAAGAAAACAGAAAGCAAATAAAGTCAGTTGGGGGAGGTTTGGTCAATGGTTGTCATTTTTAGCACATGCCATTTTTGGCAACCATGTGCTAAAAATGACAACGCTATCAGCTATTTTTAGCAACGATGAAGCCGATTTCACTCCTCAGCGAGGAAATCACGATTTTGGAAATACAAGCACTGATTTTGGAAAAGAAGTGCTGCCACCTGGTGCAAGAAGAAGAAACCAGCTTTAATATGGCCGTTGTTTGTATGGTAGTCCAACGTTGAAGTATACCCTTTTTTGTGGCCCGAAGTTGGAACTTTAAATTGAAGCATCCGAAAATGATCGATATTGATCGAAATCATGATGTTGATGAAAAAAATAATATGTTAAGTTGAGAGAGGAGGCCATTTTATCCAGATGCGGTGGTTTACTTCTTGAAATTATTTTTGCTTACGACGACTGCCATGTAATGAGGGATAATTAGCAGCCGTCATTAGCAAAAATAATTTCAAGAAGTAAACTACTGCATCTGGATAAAATGGCCTCCTCTCTCAACTTAAAATATTATTTTTTTCATCAACATCATGTTTTCGATCAATATCGATCATTTTCGGATGCTTCAATTTTAAGTTCCAACTTCAGGCCACAAAACAAACTACCATACAAATAACAGGCATATTAAAGCTGGATTCTTCGTCTTGCACCAGGTCGCAGCACTTCTTTTCCAAAATCAGTGTTTATCTTTCCAAAATCTTCATTTCCTCGCTGAGGAGTGAAATCGGCCTCATCGTTGTCAAAAATAGCAGAATCGTTGTCATTTTTAGCACGTGTGACAAAAATAGCACGTGCTAAAAATGACAACGATTGACCAAACCTCCCCCGACTGAAGTAGGAAATCATCGGCCGGTATGGGCTTTTTTAACTGCAGTCAAATTTTCCAGTGGAAAGTACGATAGTTATTAGCTATTACTATACTTCTTGCTGCATCAAGTTGTAAATACACAAGATTAAAAAAATTCTTGTCATGAAATAATGCACAAATGTCACGCAGAAATTACGGGGTTTGGATTCTGGGGCCGCATGACCTTCTTCTTAACTGCGCTATGACCCTAAGTAAAGAACAGTGAATGAGTGTACGCCTCATTGCTAAACCAGCTTCATAATGACCGAAAGTTAAGCGTTTTGCCGTTTGCGTCCCTCCCTCGTGACGAAGAACCGACATGTAACAAAAGCGAGTCGTAAAATAAAAAAATAACGACATCTTCCGTGAAATTATGGAATCTTTCTACAAAAAAGTCAAGCGTCAAAGACAACTTATGCAGCCTGTTATGTAAAAATGAGACACGAGTAGGTAACACAAAATGGCACGGGATCCAGTCTCGCCACATCCCTTGGCTTATCTCCGCACGCTTTGAGATCACCATAGTGAGTACAGCTTCACATCTGGTAGAGCAGCCAAGCTCTACTTACAGTTCGGTTGCCAGGTGTCTCAGACAATCACCGGTGGTGTGACAGGCAGAGTCGGCAGGCGCACAGCTCAGCCGCTCCTGTCACAAAGATGGAGACGATGAAGAGAATGTAGGAGACGCCCACTGAGTAGCTAGGGGGCAGCTGGTAGGCCACACTGCCGATCTCTGCCATGTGGAAGCCTGCTGGCAGGATCACTGCAGCCAGACAGAGGAAAACCACTGCAAAGAGAGAAAATCATATGTAACATCATAAACAATGAACAAAGGAGAGATGGAAGGGTGAATATCTTAACATTTCTATAATCAAAATAAGAAAAATAACTATTCAAAAACATGCCATAAAAGTCATTGTATTCAATACACACCCTTGACCCTGGAATATGCGCAGCACCATCAGGGTACCTATGCCTAAAACCAGAACATTATCATCATATTTACTGGCCACCATAAACCAACACTAATAGCATGTAGCCACCCCAGACTTCAATCTTCATTTACATTCTTACTTACATTGCCCAATGCTCTCTTTACAGTTCAACACTGCTCAAGCTCACCAGCTGCAAATCCAAGCCATCGTGCAGCATTATATAGCCGGTGGCTCCATGTGCCGAGCAGCAGCAGTAGCAGTGTTGTAGACACACAGAGGCAGCTGCAGAGCAAGCATATGAGCACGAGTAGCCACTCTGGACAAAGACGAGGCACATAGCAGGTCTCTGGGCGTCCGCGACTTGTCTGACATGACCACAGCAGGCCCAGACGAATACTGCCTGAGGAAGAAGATAGGGGGCAAGGTCACTGCCAGATCAGATGCAATGGAGTAGAAATGGAGGGGCATGGTAAAGACTGTTGGATTTCATGAAACAGCACACTCAGAGTATGAGAAGACAATGCTTCAGTCTTTAAGTAAAAATACTCAGACCTGAGACCGTTCCAATTCAAGTATATTTGTACGGGAGGTTGAGGTAGGCAGATGTCACATCTTGTGCTTACCTCCGATGTCTGACACCACCCAATCAGGAGTTGCAATGCTTACAATGATAAGAATGTCAACAATAAAGAAGGTCACAAATGCAACAATTGTAAGCTTGCCCATCTTTGTCTCGTTCAAATTTTAACAAAAAATATCAATGCATATTGATATTAGATGTCTAAACTGAATTTGAATTATGATTACACCCATTCATTCATTCTCGCAATGCATCCCGTATTATACGTTCACGGCCAAAGCAGCAAAATGTGTGTTCAGGGCGGCTGCTGAGGCATGTTATTGTGAAGCAGCTACCAATCGTCAAGCAGAATATCACGTTAGTAGGCGTCGCGAGTGTAAAATCAGCTAAATTTGAACACTTTGGAATGTCTCAGCTGCGCCAGAAAGAAATCAACAGATACTTATTTTGCTGCAAAGACCATTTCATTGCATAAAAAATATTTCGTCACGCTTCGCTACTATCAGAAGCAGATTGTCGGCTATTTTTTTTGCATTCCAATCGCTAGCAAATCATGGTGACCATTTTCTAGTAGTAGGCACATTAAAACTTTCGAATAATGATCCGTGGAATAATGATCCTATTCAATACTGATGATAACCGCATATTTGTTTTTTTTTTTTGTTCCGATCAGTCTTTGATCGAAATAGCAGGAGCTAAAGCAGCTTCCTATCTTCATATCTTTCCCTCCGCATTGTTCCAACGGCCAGCCTCCAAACCGTTCCAATAACACGAAATTCCGAAAAAGAAATCGCAATCACAATATATGTGTAATAACATCATTTAGAGACGGTTCTTGTGAACCCTCTGCAATACTAGGACGTCATAAATCTTATCTATATATTTTCAAAATTTCAGTTTATGTATACTTCTTTAGGCAGTTTCATATGAAAGACTTTTGATATATGAATCAACACTTCTCGTAGTAGACTACCTTTTTTGTGAATTATATTTTTTCCACAACATAATATTTGTGTCGCTGGTCAAATGCCAAATCAATGTCCTCACTTCTCATGACGTAACAAATTTGAAAGGAATGCAAAGAGATGCGTGCTGCGTGGTCGGGGTGGTCGTATGCTTGTTCATATCAGTTACCATCAGTTACAACAACATTGGCAACCGCAATTGTTATTGTGGCAAACTGGCGCTATTGACAGTTCTCCTCTGTAGGTATACCGTTGTTTTTGTGAGTGATGAAATAAAATCAAATGGATGTTATCAGTGTCCAGAGTCATATACAAAGTCAGGTACCTATATCAATATAGGGCCTTGATCAGAGTATCTTGACAGATGCCGTGTTCATTACACTTGTAGTGCTTATTGTATCAGCATTCTTTAGTATAATAAAAGTTATTTCATTTGATTATTTCCTCAAGAAGGTCATGGACACCGGACTGAAACATCCACACACTACGCCGGATGCCCGTGGGCCGTGACTTTTTCTGTCCTTGTGGGTTGCATTTAATCGCATCATTTTTTTCAGTTTTTCTTATCTGTTATCCTTCTTTACATATTTTCAGTCTGTTGCTTTTTCTCAATGACCCATCGAGCAAACGTTGCTAGTCTTCGTGGCCGTGCCCCTGACCCGACCACAGGGCCCGTGGTGGTTCATCTGTCCTTACACTCTTGCTTGCCTTGTCACATTGCTGCAATTGCACCTATTGCTTTACTGATTTACTGTGAAAAATCGAAACCGTTTGGGAATGTCCTGCTTTTTAATAATCTAATTGCTTTTTTCAGGATGATGCTAACAGATTCATGCTGATGAGGCCATGAGCAGAGGATGGTATTGTGTTGTTTGTTATCACATTGACAGTTTATTTAGTTGAAGAACCCAAGTCGACCATAAAAATGGCAAGGATCATGTGTTTCGTTGCCCTTATTGGGCTTTTTATTCTCTGCAAGACAATCCCAAGTTTAGGCACTGCAAATGAAAGGGAAAACGGTAGGAACGAGTTCTATAGGAGCAACTCGGATGGAGATGTGACACTGGAAGACGAACAAGAGGACCATACTATTGAGGAGGAGCTTCAAAAGCTCGGCCATCTGCATGGATATTTTAAAAGCAATGAAGCTCACCACGGTGAAACAGAGAAAACATTTAAACAGGTACGAACATGACTACCCTCTATTTTTTCCTTTGAAACAGAGGAGTTTTGCCAATTTCCCTTTTTGTTCGGCTACAGACTTCAGTTTGCATAATGTTGAGTTTTTTGTTGACATGACAGGTGTTGAGATTTATTCGCGCCTCACACCCGGTTTGTTTGACATTTCGCTGATTGTTTGTCTTGTATTACCACCAAAGATCGTTCAAAGCTACACTTCTCCCGAGACTACGTACGTATTTATTCAAACTACGCACCTACACTCCTCCTACACCTACACCGATGCGTTAGATAATGTCTGTATCTAAGTTCCTGTCTGAACTTAACTTTGCAACGAAGCTCGGGGTCCAATCAATTCCTAAGCTTTCAATACAGCTCCCGAATATGAACCGCGCCCAACCCCGCCTCTACACCGCCAGTCGCAGTCATCGGCCGTGATCCCGACTATGGAGGACAAAGAGATCATTCTGGTGTCCACCCTCACCGGTCGGCTGCACGCACTCAGACGTGTCAGCGGGGAGGTCCTGTGGACACTGGACCGGGGCCCGACCGTGCGCGCACCGGAGCCCAACAAACAGCCAGAGTGAGTGGGCAGAGGGGTCTATCATGCTGAACTATAGGAGGGATGGGAGAGGCGAGGAACTGTAAGGACGAAGGAGGCATTGCGGTATAAAGACTCGTTTTTAAGTTTACAGGTGCTACCATCTTTTGTTGATTTATTCAGTAAATTTACTTGTACATTCAAGCATCTAATGTTTGCGGGTTTATTTGCTTGATTTATTAAATGGATTAATTATATGAATAGTTCCTGAATTCATCGGTCATTGCCTCATTGTTTTTACCGCAGTCGACGCGCCCGTAAACCCCAATGAACGTACGAAGGAACGAACGAAGGTCATTGATCGATTGGTTTATGTATGCATTTGTTAAAGGAAACAGTTCACTTTCCTGAAATTAGTATTTTGCTATTGATTTATGATTTTTTATGCTCAAAATGATCATGAAAGAAAGTAAAACCTTTTTGTAAAAACAATTATTTTCTATATTTTAATATAGGACGAACTATATTCTATGTAAAATAATGTTTGAGGCGGAAGCTTATTACGCGTTGACCAATCATATCGCGTGATTCAAACCTACGCATACTGCATTGGCTGTAAGCAGCATGCTGATTGGCTGACGATGACGTGGCTGCATTCCTGTGCAAGGCACGCATTCCTCTGCAAGGCACTCTTTTCGGAACGAGAAATGGAATATCTTCGTCTAGGGTGATCGTTGAGCCGTAAAAGCTCCTGATTTGTGCTAGTCTCAGCTCAAGCTACGAAACTGCTATTTCAGTTCAAAACCCCATGTTAACCCGCGAGTTGCTGGGGGGGGGGGCGTTAAACGCCCCCACTTTTTTCGCCGGGCCATAGCATAAAAACGGCGCGCCGCAGGCGCGCCAAATTTTGGGTACCTGTAGGGAATTGATTGAAGTTTATTGTGACAAAGTTTCAAAAAAATCGGTCGGAAAATTTTTGAGATATCGAAGTTTTAGTGACGTCATGTTTTCTGAGTTTTCGACCAAAAACGGCATATGTTCAAAAAATCATATAAAATCACAGAATAGACATACAGACATGCCGTAAACGCCATTAGACTGCCAATACCATGAACAATCAAATGGCTATCTTCAATTGTTGATTATCATTCCGCATTTTCCAAAATCTTGAACTGAATCTTGGCAATTTCTCGTGACTACTTCACGACCATGATACATGCAATTCTTAAATTGAACTTTTTTAGCCAAAAACGTACACATATGGGAAAATGAATGTCACCATCGTGTTCTACGCCCCAAATTGCCCATAAAACATGTGTCACAGGCTGGGAATATCAGTTTTCATTTTCGGGGATATGTGCCTGCCCGGTTGACCTGACCTTGACCCTGACCTATGCTTGACTGACCCCTATATGGAGCTGACACTCTTGCAGGCCTTATATGGTGGATTGTGCACCGTTTTGACAGAGTTTATGACGAGAGGCGCCCATTGCGAAGTCCTGAAGTCCATGCTACTGAAAGCCCGATTTCAGGTGTTTGACCTGACCTTGACCTGACCTGTGACCTCAAAATTCAATTTTAAAGTACTCATCTGAAGCGTCTCGTCGCGTTCTTTCGTTTGCCGCCTCGTGCGTTTCGCTGCGCCTATTGGTTCTCGAGTTATCGGCTGGGGGCGTTTAACGCCCCCCCCCCCCCCAGCAAACGGTGGGTGGCGAAATACCCCAGCAACTGCCGGGTTAAAAGTGAACTATTTCCTTTAAACGATTCATTAATTCATTTATTCATTCGGTCATTCGTTCATTCATTCATTCATTCATTCATTCATTCATTCATTCATTCATTCATTCATTCATTCATTCAACCATTCATTCATTCATTCATTCAACCATTCATTCATTCATTCATTCATTCATTCAACCATTCATTCATTCATTCATTCATTCAACCATTCACTCATTCATTCATCTCTTTTTGTATTGGCTCATTTATTTACGAATTGGCTTATTAATTTCACTGAATCGGCGTAATAAATTAGTTAATCGTTGCTGCAAGGACTGACGTCATCGCTGCTGTGCGGTCCACTGCTACAATATAACCACCCCTCCCTCTCCCTCTCCCTCTCCGTCTCCCCCTCTCTCCAGGACGGCTGCATTTCTGCCGGACCCCAGTGACGGAAGTCTGTACATGCTGGGAGGGCCCGGCCGGGACACACTCAGAAAATTACCGTTCACCGTGCCAGAACTGGTGTCCGCCGCGCCCTGCCGGAGCTCGGACGGACTACTCTATACCGGGAAAAAGGTACGTGGGTGCAAGATTTCTTTACTAATACGTGGGTGCGCACACTGGGCCGTGAGGGTTGTTGGGTACCGAACAAATGTGTGAATGTTTGTAGAGTAGAAGCGTACGGGGAAGCAGGTTGCTAGGGCCGAGGTGTGGAATGGGATGGAAGATTCACGTCTGTGTTATAAGAGTGGTGCACACCGCACAGTGCACCTGCTGTTTCGTAGAATGACAAGAGGACGGCAAGGCATCGGAGGTGGATTTGTGAAAGGCAGTGGTGTTCGCGATCGGTGGCTCTAGCCCAACATCCGACATATCCTAGCACCAGTATAACGCCTTTTGGGGCGATTAACGGAGCGAGCGAGAGGGTGAGCCTTGCACGTGCGAAATTTCGAGGGGGTACCTCCAGCTGACTTGTGCACGGCACCCTACTAACCGGTCTCTAGCGATGTGCCAAATTTGAGCACAATCGGTCCAGCCGTTCTCGAGATCTGGAAGCGGCACCCTGCAAGTGCGCACGTGCAAGATGGGTCCCAACTGACTTTTGCACGGCACCCTACTAACCGGTCCTTAGCCATGTACCAAATTTGAGCGCCATCGGTCCAGCCGTTCTCGAGATCTGGAATCGACCCCTGCACGTGCGCACGTGCAGCAGCACCCCAACTCTGGCACATGGATATGCATTGCCTAGTGAGTGCCTACCTACATGCCAACTTTCAGCGCAAACGGCCCAGTAGTTACCGAGATATTGCAACAATTACAAAAGTGACACCTCTTCGTTTTGCACGTGGCACGTGCATAAGGGGTCACCCACATGCATCGGGAATAGTCCATTACTTGGTAGAAGGAATGAAGCTACCCTACAAAAATTACCGCGTGTAAATCGGTCAACTGGTTGCTGAGATATAAGCCTCGCAAAAGCGTGACCACGGCCGGCCGGCCGGCCGGCCGCTCATACTCAGAAATTTCCGTTAATCTAAGGAAAGACTACGCTCGCTTCGCTCGCTCCGTAACTACCTGACTAGGACATGGGAATGGATATTGATCTGACCTGTCGCTACCGCTGAGGTCACCGCTGAGCTGAGCTCTGACCGCGCCCGCTGACTGCTAAGTTGAACTGATCTGACCTACCTTCTGGTCGGCAGGTGGACGGGTGGATGGCGCTCGACTGGATGACGGGCCAGATACAAGAGGAGCTGACCTCCGAGGGCAGCAGCCGCTCCTGTCCGGTCAACAGCCCCCAGACTGTGTTCATCGGACGCACAGGTGGGTCACGCTCTGTACAATCCAGAGGTCACGCTGTTTGGGAGAGGTTAGAGGGTCTACTCACCGCGTTTGGTGGACAAGATGAGGCCCCGCTATGTTATATAGGAGGGACATGCGGGACGCTATGATAGGAGGGTCCCGCCGATGCTTGGGAGGGACAGTCGGGTCACGCTTAGTTGTGTGAGGGCTATGAGACTTGTTGTGGTCGGAAGGACTGGTAGGTCCCACCGTGATGAGATGGACAGGGTGAACCGCGTTGTTTGTAATCGACTGTGGAGTCCTTCCGTCTGGGAAGGGCAGGGAGATTCCACCACGTGGGATGGACAGAGTGGTCCCGTTGTGATGATGGGAAGGACGGAGGGCCCTTCTATTTCCCTCTGTTCAATTTTCCATCAATTTAGACGTTTTTCTTTAATAATACGTTATCGCCAGCACGTAACGCTCCTCCCCGGATGCAGGGAGTGAATGATATCGCCCAAAACTGACCCGGATTGCGCGGCGTTAAAGGTAGTGTGCCACCTTTGAAAGATTTCCCATTTTATTTTTCCTAGGATAAGAAGCTCCTGTTTTTACCTAATATCGCAAAAAATTCAAAAATGGGCCTGGAATAGTGCCTTTTTCGCCTAAAAGTTTATCGGTTTTTCGATATGTATAACAACTGTAGTGGGCTGACCTGCAAACAGGCGTCGGCAACAATCGCGAATGCGGCGCACATGTGACAATAAGCAAAAGTCATTATAGAGTTACGACGTACGGGAATGAGTTATCAGCTGTCTAATCGTAGACAACACAATGTCGAGCCCTGTAAGCCTGTATTGGTATTGATGTAACGGAAGTTGGCACAGATTCAGCACAGGTTCAGCACAGCACAGATTCGGTAGGGGGAAAAAGGCCCCGGTAGAGGGAAACCTTTATGACCCGTTTTCCCCTAGAAATGACGTCACAAGGAGGTAAAAATGGGTATCAATCGAAAGCTCTCGTTTACCCAGACACAGTCCTGCAGGAAAATTTCAATTTTTCCCCATAGGAAAGTTTTTACGGGAAAATCAAAATTTTGGGTCAATGGGGGGTCCCCCCCGATTTCGTTCAAAATCGGCACACAGGTGCCCCACCACCAGCCGAGAAACTTTCCCCAAAACGGTCCCCGTTGCATTGACGTTTAAGGCCCATAAAGCCCCCTAGACTCGTAAAATATCCGTAAAATCGCCTTTGTACGGACAAAAAAGTGGTGCTATGGTAAAAATGGGTATCAATCGAAAGCTCTCGTTTACCCAGACACAGTCCTGCAGGAAAATTTCACTTTTTCCCCATAGGAAAGTTTTTACGGGAAAATCAAAATTTTGGGTCAATGGGGGGTCCCCCCCCCCGATTTCGTTCAAAATCGGCACACAGGTGCCCCACCACCAGCCGAGAAACTTTCCCCAAAACGGTCCCCGTTGCATTGACGTTTAACCCTCGCACGACCAGGCCATTTCTCATAACACGAACGACCAGGGGGGGGGGGGTTGTTACGACCCCCCCTGGCGTTTCGAAACGGAAGGTCGTAGAGCTTAGCGGAAAAAACCAACGGATTGCTCTCAACGAGACCTCGCGATTGGTGGTATATTTTTTGGTCCTAGGTCAACATTTGACCTACTTTTGACCGGTCAAAGGTCAAATTTTCGGAAAAATAGACTTTTTTTTCAACTTTCGGCGGCGATTGCGGCAAAACGGTGGGAGATATCGACTTGAAACCTTCAGTATCGTGTTCCTTGATCAATTCTCTATCGTTTGGTATGTATTTCGTTTCCCTAGCTCTAAAAATGGCGCGTTGGGAGCGCCGGAAGTTGGCAAGGTCACAGTCGGCGGCAGAAATTCGAAAAATCAAAATTTAAATTTTTGAAATCTGATTGTATTTTTGGATTTGGGAGGTCCATTTGCTCCCTATAGAAGCTAATATTGCTGCATATTCCCATTGAGGTGACAAGAATTAGCAAAATAGTGGTTCGGGCGCTTTTCAAAAATAGTACCGGACGCTGTTCCTCTTGTGACGTCATAGCTCCGTGACCTGACCTGACCCGGTCAAATTTTTTATACCATATGATAGCCAATACTTGCCCCAAGATGCATGGGAAGTTTCATCACGATCCATCAACCGATGTCCGTACCACCGGCAGGAAACCTCGGGCGTTGGCACTCAGTTTGTGAAAATCCGGCCGGAGGCTGTACCTCTTATGACGTCATAACTCCGTGACCTGACATGACCCGATCAATTTTTTTTTCGTCAAAAGATGCGCAAAGGTTGCCCCAGAGGGTATTGAAAATTTCAGCCCGCTACGACAAGCCGTTTAGCGTGCACTTCGAAAAAACCTCAGGGGGGGGGGGTTGATACAACCCCCCCCCCCCTAGGCGTTCTAGGGTTAAGGCCCATAAAGCCCCCTAGACTCGTAAAATATCCGTAAAATCGCCTTTGTACGGACAAAAAAGTGGTGCTATGGTAAAAATGGGTATCAATCGAAAGCTCTCGTTTACCCAGACACAGTCCTGCAGGAAAATTTCACTTTTTCCCCATAGGAAAGTTTTTACGGGAAAATCAAAATTTTGGGTCAATGGGGGGTCCCCCCCGATTTCGTTCAAAATCGGCACACAGGTGCCACACCACCAGCCGAGAAACTTTCCCCAAAACGGTCCCCGTTGCATTGACGTTTAAGGCCCGTAAAGCCCCCTAGACTCGTAAAATATCCGTAAAATCGCCTTTGTACGGACAAAAAAGTGGTGCTATGGTAAAAATGGGTATCAATCGAAAGCTCTCGTTTACCCAGACACAGTCCTGCAGGAAAATTTCACTTTTTCCCCATAGGAAAGTTTTTACGGGAAAATCAAAATTTTGGGTCAATGGGGGGTCCCCCCGATTTCGTTCAAAATCGGCACACAGGTGCCCCACCACCAGCCGAGAAACTTTCCCCAAAACGGTCCCCGTTGCATTGACGTTTAAGGCCCGTAAAGCCCCCTAGACTCGTAAAATATCCGTAAAATCGCATTTGTACGGACAAAAAAGTGGTGCTATGGTAAAAATGGGTATCAATCGAAAGCTCTCGTTTACCCAGACACAGTCCTGCACGAAAATTTCACTTTTTCCCCATAGGAAAGTTTTTACGGGAAAATCAAAATTTTGGGTCAATGGGGGGTCCCCCCCCGATTTCGTTCAAAATTGGCACACAGGTGCCCCACCACCAGCCGAGAAACTTTCCCCAAAATGGTCCCCGTTGCATTGACGTTTAAGGCCCGTAAAGCCCCCTAGACTCGTAAAATATCCGTAAAATCGCCTTTGTACGGACAAAAAAGTGGTGCTATGGTAAAAATGGGTATCAATCGAAAGCTCTCGTTTACCCAGACACAGTCCTGCAGGAAAATTTCACTTTTTCCCCATAGGAAAGTTTTTACGGGAAAATCAAATTTTGGGTCAATGGGGGGTCCCCCGATTTCGTTCAAAATCGGCACACAGGTGCCCCACCACCAGCCGAGAAACTTTCCCCAAAACAGTCCCCGTTGCATTGACGTTTAAGGCCCGTAAAGCCCCCTAGACTCGTAAAATATCCGTAAAATCGCCTTTGTACGGACAAAAAAGTGGTGCTATGGTAAAAATGGGTATCAATCGAAAGCTCTCGTTTACCCAGACATAGTCCTGCAGGAAAATTTCACTTTTTCCCCATAGGAAAGTTTTTACGGGAAAATAAAAATTTTGGGTCAATGGGAAAAATTTTGATTTTCCCGTAAAAACTTTCCTATGGGGAAAAAGTGAAATTTTCCTGCAGGACTGTGTCTGGGTAAACGAGAGCTTTCGATTGATACCCATTTTTACCATAGCACCACTTTTTTGTCCGTACAAAGGCGATTTTACGGATATTTTACGAGTCTAGGGGGCTTTACGGGCCTTAAACGTCAATGCAACGGGGACCGTTTTGGGGAAAGTTTCTCGGCTGGTGGTGGGGCACCTGTGTGCCGATTTTGAACGAAATCGGGGGGACCCCCCATTGACCCAAAATTTTGATTTTCCCGTAAAAACTTTCCTATGGGGAAAAAGTGAAATGTTCCCGCAGGACTGTGTCTGGGTAAACGAGAGCTTTCGATTGATACCCATTTTTACCATAGCACCACTTTTTTGTCCGTACAAAGGCGATTTTACGGATATTTTACGAGTCTAGGGGGCTTTACGGGCCTTAAACGTCAATGCAACGGGAACCGTTTTGGGGAAAGTTTCTCGGCTGGTGGTGGGGCACCTGTGTGCCGATTTTGAACGAAATCGGGGGGACCCCCCATTGACCCAAAATTTTGATTTTCCCGTAAAAACTTTCCTATGGGGAAAAAGTGAAATGTTCCCGCAGGACTGTGTCTGGGTAAACGAGAGCTTTCGATTGATACCCATTTTTACCATAGCACCACTTTTTTGTCCGTACAAAGGCGATTTTACGGATATTTTACGAGTCTAGGGGGCTTTACGGGCCTTAAACGTCAATGCAACGGGGACTGTTTTGGGGAAAGTTTCTCGGCTGGTGGTGGGGCACCTGTGTGCCGATTTTGAACGAAATCGGGGGGACCCCCCATTGACCCAAAATTTTGATTTTCCCGTAAAAACTTTCCTATGGGAAAAAGTGAAATTTTCCTGCAGGACTGTGTCTGGGTAAACGAGAGCTTTCGATTGATACCCATTTTTACCTCCTTGTGACGTCATTTCTAGGGGAAAACGGGTCATAAAGGTTTCCCTCTACCGTGGCCTTTTTTCCCCCTACCGAATCTGTGCTGTGCTGAACCTGTGCTGAATCTGTGCCAACTTCCGTTACATTTGGTATTGTTTCTTTTATTTGGCTGTCGAACATTATTTATGGTTTGAAATATGATTTTATGTAAAATAATTGATATGAAAAAGCCGTCTCTTTTAAGTTATGACCCCATTTCACCACACGCAAGTGACAGAAATGACAATGATCAGCTGACGCATTTTTCTTGGCCGAAGTCAGAGC